GAAACATGAGCCACTGTAGATAACATCAAGTCACCGATACGCACTCCGCTCCTGGTCTAGGAACCAGTCAATTTTAACACCTTTTCCTGTGAAACAGTGAATATAAAACCTGCCTGCCTCTGGGAGTGCTGGGAGGATTAGCTAATGCCTGTGCAGTCCTTTGAAGATGAAGAATACTCTAAGTGCTTAGCACAAATGTTAATAGTATCTTGATCGTAACTACACATCAACCATCCCTGCAGAAAAATGAGAAGTGAGAGGCCCAATTTAGCAGAACACTTTCCCTCTTAATCCAGTCGCTGTCCTTTACCCTTTGTGCAATAAGCACATGTCACCTTCATCTTTTAACTGCTAATACCTTTGGTCTGGTAACCCCAAACTGCAGCACACGCTCCAATGGCCCCTTGGCTTCTTTCAACGCACAAAACCAGAGATAAATGCCAACTACGTAAAGCCTAAAATAGAGCCCTGGAGAGAGAAACAAGTCACAGGGGCAATGGCCTGCAGAAGAGTAGTGATGAAGTTTGAGTCAGAAGATTTTTCTCCCCAGGGTTTAATTCCCAAGCGGCTAGTGGGGGCAACAGGACTCACAGGCAGTAATTGTGGACAGGGAGAGCAGCAGCTCGAAGGGCAACTCAAGAGCACTCCCTCTGCTTTGGGGAAACTGCTCAGTGCTCCCACGTAGGAGCTAACATTCCTCCTAACCTGCAGGAATGGGTTATAACAACATCCTGCTCTACTTCAGAGCTTTTTTCTTAAAAATCCCTCCAAAAAGCCTTATACAAGTCAACTGGAGCAGAATTAGGCCAAGACCGAGTGCTTTCGAACAACTTACCTTCCCGTATTTCAGACTCCGGGTATGCAGTGATACAGCCCCATCAGAAAATACAGACTGGACCTCTGCCTGTCAGTGCCACTTAAGGAGACAAGGACCCTAATGCTGCCCAGCGCCAACAGCCGCTGGCTGCCCCCGGCAGAGAGCTCTCACTACCAGCCAGGCTAGCCGAGGTCTGGCTGTTCTCCCCATGCCCCTTGGCTCTTCTGTCTGAGTGCCAGCAGTGGAAGGATACACTGATGAGGTCCCCTTCCTGCAGATAGTCCCTCATTGCAAGCTCATCTTCTGCTGATCTCCTTCTCTGAAATGCACAATGCAAGAAAAGTTACGTGTAGCTCAGAATGAGAAAACATCAGTCAATACCTTCATTGCGGGGGGATCTTAGGATGCCATGCAAAACGCAACCTGGTCACCAAAAGAAAATCAGGCAGACTAGCACACCTTTAGATCACTGAAGCGTTTACGTCCAAGTAACACTGAAAGTTAAAGATATCGGAGCACTACAGACCCACCCACAAAACCCAACGCTACCCTTGTGCTAACTGTGGGAAGGGCTCCAGAGCTCCCCAGCGCCTCAGCTTGTGCCATGGAAGCAGAAGAAGCCAGGACTCCGGCACTGCTCTGCGTGAACTACACTCACCAGTTCCCCACCAGGTAAATTCATAGACGACAGCAACAGGACTGAATCTAGCCTGGAATTCGTTTCCACTTTCCATCGCTTCTGCTGAACCTGGAGAAGAAACATAATCTGTTGATACACACTCAAAAATTGAACAGAAGCTTTTCAGCGGAGCGGGAGGTCCTGCAGCCAGCCGAGCCTGCAGGAGGAGACAGCTCTGCCGACTACTTCCAGCCTCATCTTGTTTAAAACCCACAAGCTCACAGTGCCGCTGTGCGCGGACACTAACGTGCTTTTAGGAACGCCAGAAGCGCTCCGGATCGGACCGAGGCACGCCAGCCTGGCGGCCGGCCGGCCACCCTCCTTCTCCACGGTGCGCCAGGAAATCCGAGCTTTACCTCCGTGATCCTCCCGACCACGATATCGCCCACTTCGCCGTTGTACCTGGGAGCGAGGCAGAGAGAGCAGCCCGTCAAACGCCTCATCCTCCCCACAAAACGGCCCAGCCAGCGGCCGAGCGCCAGCCCTCACGCAGCGCGGACGGGGGGGCTTCACGCTCCCCGCGCGGAGGCGGCGGCCACGCTCACCTGGTCTTCAGCGCTTTGACGCACACCAGCTTGTTCACCCTCTCCACGGCGCCGGCCACCGAGGCGATGAGCTTCTCCTCGTCCACGTAGGTGCCGTGGCCCCTGTGGAGAGAGCGACCGCCTGAGGAGAGCCCGAGGCCGGGCGGCCCCCGCCGCCTCCCCTCCGCCGCTGCCGCTGCCCCCACCTCATGTAGCCCGTGTCCGTGGTGATCGTGTCCCCCGGCGCCACCAGGTGCTTCTCGCTGCCCCGGGGCGCGCTCGGCCCCACCGCCTTGCGGGCCACCGGCAGCCGCATGG